TTAATAAAAGATACAAGAGGCATGACCTCACCTTAAAAAAAAAAAAAAAACAAAAAAAACAAATGCTTTACTAAGTGCTCTATTTATTGATTCAATATGTTTATCTGAAATAGTTGTACTTTCAAGAAATTTATCTAAACGTAATTGTTAATTTGAATGCTTAGTTTCAGAAATATTTGGTAAATTGTTATGAGATTCAATAATATATATGACTAGGGATAGTAAATGATCTGAAATGACTCAAATGACCCAAATGACAAATGACTAGCCATTTGTTATTTCAAAACTCAAATGACCTTAGAAGGTCATTTAACATATATTAGTTAATATTCTAACACCTTTTAACCAATCAGAATTGGCTGCCAAGCAAAATTAAATTTAACTGTAATATGCGAAAGTGAATTAATAAAAAGGTATTCAATCTGCATGAAAATTTTAAAATATACATAATTTATTATTTTGAATAGCTTTACTTAAGTCATAAATATTAATTGACTTAATAAAATATTAATTTTAATATATAGCTACAATTATAATTAGAAAAGTAATAAAATTCGATAAAGTAATTTAACTAATAAAATTACTTTATATGCAAATGACCCAAATGACTTAATGACCCAAATGACCTGGTTATTATTTGATGACTTAAGGTCATTTAAATTTTGATCAAATGACCAGGTCATTTACTATCACTGTATATGACTGCTTCTTTTATTATTTCAGAAACTTTTGTACATTTACTAATTATATATTTTTCTATTTGTGATGGTTTTCTAGGTGAAAATTTTTTATCGCATACTTTACAAATTGCTTCATAATATTCTGAATTATCTAATGTATTTCCTCTATTATAAAAATTCTAAATTGGTTTTAATGGATGATCACCAATATTTTTTCAGTATGATATTTGATTTTTTTAGATTCAGACATATTAAAAAATAATGTATATTTAATAATTTAATAATAAAAATATTAAAATAAAATTTACTAAAACTAGTAAGCTTAGTAAATTTTATAAACACAAATATTATATAGAAGATTTATTATTTAAAAAGAATAAAACAAAGAATAAAAACAAAAAATAATTAAAATAGAATTTAAAAGCAATAGCCTCCAAAGATACTATAAGAATTTAGCAATAGGCAATTGTGTTTAGAGTTGAACCTATTGTCTAGTTTGTATTAATTGTATATAGAAAATGCTTGTTTTATACAAGGATTATTAGACTTTAGAACTTAGTAATATCCTTAGATATAACTAAAAGAAAAAAAGCACTAATAATCAGACCATTAACAGCTATATGTGGCTTTTAAATTTAATAATACAAAGCTAGTATTTGTTAAAATACTATTTCTGAAATCAGCTTTCACTTTATATTATTTTTTAAAGAAGAAATAAAATTTATTAAAAAAAGAACAAAATATATAAAAAAATAAATAATTTTTAATATCAAGAAAGAATAGATCAAATATAATTTAATTAAAGGATGTTAAGGTAAAAAAATATAATTTAATTAAAGGAAGTTAAGATAAAGAAAACTATAATTTTTAGAAGAGTAAAAACTACCCTTTTTATAGATTATTTTTAAAATTATCATGTGTTGCAACATCATTTTGGATCATCCAAAACATGTGAAAATCTTGACAATATAGAATTTCTAAGCAGAACATCTTACAAAATCAATAAATTCTGCCAAGCAATGTCAAGCTAATGCCAAGCAAGAAACAATCTGTAAATCTTATTAAATAAGATTTGCAAATTTTCTTGATAGCACTCAAATCACATTTAACAGTAGATCTTACTTATTTTTAAAGTTTATATTCATAGGTTATCACATGTGAGCCACATAATAAAGACCAGGAAGTCTAAAAATAGCTTTCTTTAAACCACTTTAAATACTGTATATTTCTGAAAATAAGCTATCCTTTTTTGGATGATTTTGAATACAAAAAAATCAGTAGTAGCTTATTTTCAGATATAATCAATTTTTGCTCAATTCTGAAAAAATTTATTAAGTAAATTGATGATGTATATTAAGTGAAAATTGTTTAGGAGATCTAAACACATATATTCTAAAAGTTTCATGCAAATTGGATAACTTTTTATTAATACATTTTTGCATGTTATGTTCAATGAATATAAATTCAAAGAAATTTTAAAGAAATTTTAAAAAATTCATCAAATGTAACATTTAAAAACATATTAATAAAAAGTTATCCAATTTGCATGAAACTTTCAGAATATATGTATTTTGATTTCCTGAACAACTTCACATAATAAGTTATGTCGATTTACTTAGTAGAATTCTGGATTTACTATAGAATAACTACTGATGATCGTATAGTAGCTTATTTTTAGATATAAGATGATTTTACAGTTTTTTTCCAAAAAAGAAAGCTATTGATTTCGGCAATGATCATAATATATTTTTACATGTGAAATAATTTTATTATTACAAGATAGATGTGCAACACTGTCGCACTAAAATCATAAATGTAGAACCAATATTGATAAATTATATGTTTATTCATATATTATATCATAAAGCTTTAGATTTAGCATTACAATCTAATCTTAAAATTTTATTTATTTATTTTGTTACAATATAGAAAAGTTCACATTGTAATTCATCAACTAACTTAGTTTGTAATTCGTGTAAGCAATTTTAGTATGTAGATCTCTAAATTGATATAAATAAA